GCTCAATGCTGTGATGCCAAATATAGCAAGGTTCTCCTTTACTACGTGGCTTTTAAAATATTTTCCAAGAACAAAAGGAGAAGACGTAACTAGTCTCATACTACAGGAAAGCTACAGGGACCGCATAGAAGGATGACAACCTTAGACTGAGGACACTTAGCCATCCCCAAAGATACTAAATACCAGCCAAAGGGTACTTCTACCTTGTCCTCTCAGCTCTACGCAGACACCAAAAATCTTCGTCACTTCTATCCTTGGTAAGCAGCTCACATGAACAGCTGTGCCAGTCCCAGTATTAGAAAAGGCACCCTAACACCTGCAGTGAAACGCACTGTAGATTAAAGTTAAACTCCAAAGCCTGAATAGTTATCACAAGATAAAATATGCTGTCCAGAACTCAATGTACACTTTAAAAGCCTGAAACATTGGTAGGGGCTTACTGGGCAATCAAGACCTTTCCAAGACACTTCATTCTCTATTAGCTAGACATTTTTTTTTTAACATCACACCCATAAGATAGCCTTGACCACTTAGGCCAGTTAATAACTGAAATACTGGATCTGCAAAAAGAACAAAACGATAGCGGTGTGAAAGTCCAACCTTCCCATTTTAATGGGATATTAACTTTCAAGATTATTTCTAAGGTGTGACCCTCTCCAAACAACTAGAACTAGTCAGACAAAATTTAACCTGAAATCCTGCTGGCCAGTTTAAGGACGAAATTACTAAGTGATGAAATACAAGAATTACATCTTCAACAATCCCATGACATGGCTCCCAAGCCTTCTGCAGCCCTGACTGTCCTGCTACGGTTATAATCGGGTCTGTCAAGGCTCCTCTGACATCTCAGAAGAGCACAGTGTTCTTCAGATTGGAGTGACCACCACCAACTATAATAGAAACTGCTACCTACTTCCTGATGGCCAATAAGCTAAATCTGGCCTAGCTATGTTTTTTGGGCTCAAAAAACAGAAGACTTAAGAAAACTTCAGCCAAAATTTTAAAAATCACAAATTTTCACCAAAAACTCCAGAATTCCAGCTTCCCTTGAAAAATCAGCTTTGGTAACCACCAGCAAATGTGAGGGGGGCTTTGCTTTTAGCCTGGGCATGGGATTTTCACGTGGTCATGCTGTCCATATCTCAAAAAATGGCCGCATCTACATTCATATCCATTCATGTTCCCTGCCCGGCAACCTCTAGCCATGTGAATTTGGAATTTATGTTGGCATTAACTACTTCACCTAACCCATGACCTCATCAGGTAACAACATCTTACAGTAAACAGAAACTCCCATGATTTATTCATAAAATTTAATCCTGGTCTCAGGCAAGTCTCCTTCTATACAGTTAACTTCGAGAACTTCACCACAAGTCTTTACATTTATCTTTGAAATTTGATGTTGTTAAATTAGATACATTCAACTCAATCACTATTCATTGTGCACCCAAAGGACGAGCGGTTTTGAAACTAGTGGTTTTGCAAAAGGCAGAGCCTCTCTCTCCAGTTTTAACAAGGTAAGTATCACCTGAATGTCTTTCATATGCTTAGTTTTACCTATAATCTACCTTCAGAAAGAAACTGAAAGGATTCAGAATTTTTTGTCTGTATAAGCTGGGAGCTATTTATTTTAAAATAACATGTAACTGAGTAACTTAAATATGTCTAAAAGTATATATTGTCTACAACTCTGACCTTCCACAGATATCTAGTTTGGCACAGAAAACCTCTAAAAACTAAAAAAGTTTCTATGGGATTATGGCTTAAGACAGAAAGTATGTGGCATCTCTGTCCGATGCCAAGACAGGAGCAAGGCGAGCTGGTCAGAGGCCCAGACGTTCACGGAAGAGGGAGGTCCCTCTAGTTGGCAACTGGGCTGCCCCTGGCTTCCTCACTCCACAAGGACACAGGCCGCCCGGGGAGGATCCCCTGATGACACCTGCTGCCGGCCAAAAGCCAGGCTTCCCCGGAATGGCCGGCTGGGGGACAAGGGGGTGGATCAGCAAGGAGCCCTCTTGCAGGGCCCCGCCCACAGGGCTGTAAGGACAGCCCTTTGTTCTTTCTGGAGAAAGACAGTTCTGCACTCTGAAGGCTTTTTTTCTGAATAGCTTGATAACAATGCTGATAGAGCTTCTCTTTCCAGTCACCTCTTATCACCCAACAGTGTAATGACAGTGTAATCGTCTAGCTGGGGATAACTGGTACCTCCCACAGTTATCTTCATTTTCCTTTGAATCCTCAGTCACATTCCTCCAAAATTCTTCAATGCTTTGCACATCTCCTTTTAAGTAACCCTCCTGAGGAAAAGAAAAGTCAGCCAGAAAGGTTTACACAGCTTCCTTCTAACCCACAGAAATGTACTGTGCAGCCCTTTACGTAAACACTCACATCAGAGGCAGACCGAAACACTCACATCAGAGGCAGACCGTAACTCCCGCAGCTGTGCAGCTAGGAGGAAGCACAGCAGTGCCCACACGGAGGGACCGAGTCACAGTGACCTGACCCTGATCTGCGGAGCTCGGCCAGCTGGGGAGCCGAAGGAGCTGCAGAGACAAGGCAGCACCCCATCCAGGGAGGGGACGCCACTGCTGTCCTGACCCCACGACCAGCCTTCCAGCCAGGGAGGGTGTGGGTGTCAACGAAAGACGCTGGAAAAGTGAAGTGTCCCCGGGAAAAGGATCCCTGAGAGCCCCTGGCGCAGGGCTGCTCAGAAGCTGGGCACGGGTACCACCCCAGCCGGGAGCCTCCGCCTGGCCGCCCGGCCAACTCCTCTGGTAGCTGCTGCCTTGAAAAGTGTGAGAACCACCGCATTAAGCTGCAGCCACCTTCTCCTCTGTATCCCGCACGGCCAGCACACTGTCCCCACACGCCGGACCCTCCAATGCCTGCAAAATGCATCACGGCAAACGGGCACTGCCCACCCTGATGCACCCGAGGGATGTACACACCGTGTCCTCCACAAGCCCTGGAAAAGCAGCTCGGCAGCTGCGACACCCAGCACAGACTGAGCTCTGTGTGCTCGGTCCTCTGCCGGCAGGACCCCTGATGCCAACCTCAGCCCTGCGGGAGGGGCCCTCACCCGCCCCGGCATACACACCAGGAACCTGCCGCTTAGGAAAGCGCAGTCAGTGCCTGGACCGCCCCGCTAATCAGTGATGAGCGGAACTTTAGCTGGTCTGTGCTCCCGCCACGCGAGCCGCTCACTCCGGACGCCCTCCGTGCCCGGCGGTGCTGAGCGCGAGAGAGGCAAACGTGAGTAAGAGGCCCTGTGCCTGAGAAGTCTACACCCTGGCAGGGAGGCGCGCGAAGTAAGCAAAAGAAATGAAGTGCTGCAGGTGCCATCAGAGCAGGGAAAGCCGAGGCAGCTCCCCCGAGGCCCCGACTGACAAGGACAAGGGCGGCCAAATCACCGCCAATCAGCGGGGGCTCTCGGACCACCACTTCCAAGAGCGAGGACGATACACATCCTTGACAGGCAGCTGTGGAAAGGGGCAAAGACCCCCAACGTGTGCCCCTTACCCCCCTCCTGAAAAAGCCAGACCGAGGCGATGCTGGGCTTTTGCTTGGAAGACACAGGAGAGGCTGGGGGAGCCCAGAGCGAAGGACAGAGGTTGAGCAGGACGGCTACCTGTCTATCTTCTCTTCGAGCTGCTTCTGCAGCGCCAGCCTCACTGCAGAACCGCGGCAGAGGTTCGAGGAACAGCTCCTCGAAGGGGCTCCGCCGGGGATGCCCACAGCCTCAGGCAGCAGCATGTACTTACCTACCGCTTGTGCCTGCATTAGACGCGCACAAGTGGCCCCATGGGGAGTGACGCGCCACTGGAAAGGACGGGTCAGGTCTTTAAAAGCTTCATCCAGGAGGCATAAGCTTTAGCAGAGTATTGCAAAATACGGGTTTGCCGACCCAAAGGAGTGTGGAGGGGGTTCCAGGCAGAGGAAATAGTTTGATCAAAGGCATGGAGTTAAAAGATAAGGAAACGTATTGGGGGAACTTAACTGGTTCTGCAGGTCCTTCGGGCAGCAGACCAGGACTGCACTTCCAGCCCAGCCACTGCCACATGCATGGGGGCTTCTGGCAATTTCCTGCTCCTCTGGGGAGAGAGTGTGGGTGTGTGAGGGGTGGCCAAAGTAGGGGCAGGGCCCAAATAACAGAAAAGGAGCCGGCAGCCATATTCGGGAGGTTCTAGGCCTCTCCTGTGGGCCAGGGGTTCCCAGAGATAAAGCAGGCCTGAGAATGCGTGGGGCAGGGCCTCTCACAGGGCAGGCCTCTCAGCCCAGAAGGACCCCAAAGTTAGACTTCTGACATTTTCTACACATGAGGTTACACAGGCAGTCACCAGAGATCCAGTGACAGGACTGGAAAGGGACATGGACGTCATTCAGCTGAAAACTGGGGGCCACACCGCCTAGTGTGCACTTGCGAATTTTATTCTTCCCGTACATTGTGACTATATTGTCAACAGCACAATTACACTGCATGACCTTTTGGAGATTACAAGTTAATCGGTTAAACGCAAACATTTAAAAAATGCATCACACTTTGATAACCTTTTAGTAATATGGAGAAACTTAAAAAAAATGTGGCCAGGTAGCTCTCTACCTCTGATGGTAGGAGAAGGTGAGTAAGAATGAGCCTGCTTAAAAATGTAGGTTCCCTGGCCCTCGCTGGGTAGCTCTGGGTAGAGCCTGGGAATATATAACAACAATCCCACATGATTTTTGATACAAGTGGTCTCACAGCCACACTTGAAAAAGCACTGCAAAGGGCAGCAGGGAAGCTGGGAAGAGGTTTAAGCAAGAAGTAACTAATCAGTATTACGCAGTTTGCGCTAGATGTGGCTATCAGTGTTGCAGGCAGAAGCCTGATTATAATGGTGTAAGAGTGAGCAGAGATTAGCAAGATGCAACTGTTCTTTCAAAACGTGTGACTGAGAAGAAAGAGACAGAATAAGGATGTGCCTTAAGGGCCTGACAAAAGGTGCTTTATTTGTGTTCATCACGTAGAGAGATGAGTAACACTGTAAAGGACATGTCAGTAATCACAACGTCCTGCACAGGATTTCCACGGCCTCCAGACCCACTCTCCACTGTCCTCTGCGCCCCCAAAGTATCAACTTGCCCTCTGAAGGAGGCACCAGCAGGAAAGAGAGGATGGGAGGGAGTGGGGTATTCAGCCTGCGGACCCTACCGCAGGCTGGATGGGTCCCTCGTTGGGGGCCACAGCTGCTCCTGACAGGAGCCCCTACAGCTCCCCTCGTGGGGTTCTGACCCCCTTAGGGCTCTGCCCTTCCTTCCTCTGGCCCCTCCAGGCCTAGAGGAGCTGGTCCTGGGAGACCACCCTATTCCTTGCCGATTTCCCTAAACCTGCCCATATCTTAGTAAATGGTTCTTAAAGTCTCCTTGGTTACCTAGTTCAATCTGTCTCCTACCAGAACCCTGCCAGATACATACAACATTAAGCAGAGTGTAAATGCCAGCACAGTGCCAAATCCAAAATGCTACTGTGGTTCAAATACAACAGCAGTCACATCGGATGGGATTCAGGAAAAGATTCATCTGCAAGGTGCACTGGATGCGGGCTTGGAAGAACAGTGAGGCTTCTGATAAGCAAAGGAGGGGGGCACATCATTGCTGCCTATTCAGATCTCCTGAATCCGAATTCTATCTTTCCACACATCAGCTATCCCTCCCCTTTTCCAAACCCTACACGTTTACCAAAGCAGGACCCACGTCATTTGTAAAATCATTAAATGATCGCTCTGCTGGGGGCCCTGTTTACAGGTTGTTTTATTTTAAAGAAGTCTTGCCAAGTTCTATCATCGTAGACTCCCACCTGTTAAATCAACTGCAGGCAAAAGCTGTGTGTGAGCTGTTTTGATTATTTCCCTGGAAAGTCAGCCCTGATGTGCCACAGTAAACAGAGACTAGGGTTATTTGTACCTATCGAGGCAGTAATAACACAGGAAGCACTTTTAAAGCAGGGGACAAAGAACTCTTGAACAGTGAGGAAGCAGAAAAACCACTTTTGACTCCAAATTCAAAATGAGATTTTAATCCTACTTTAATCACTGTGTGGGGAATAGGACTGAACCTGAGCCTGATATCTCCCTTCCTAAAAAGGAAGTCCTAGAGATTTAAAATGGAATATATGTGAACAGATGTTAACTTCCCAAAAGAAAAACAGAAGACAAGTTCCAAATATTTCATAATTTGTAAAGAAGAAAGGAACGTGCAGCAGATGTATACTAGGGGCCAGGTACTTTACATAGATTATGTATTTTAATCTCCACAATAATCTACAAATAGCTACTATTTATTATCTTTATTTTATAGGTGAGGAAACTGGGCCTTAAAGAAATATACAGTAATTTACCAACGAGCACAAGGCTGGCAGAATCTGGTTCCAAGCCAGTCATCACCACAGCATGACTACTTCCTACCTATGAAGGGAAACAGACACAGGGAAACCGACATGGATTACAGTTTAGGCCACATGGTCCTTGGCCTCACTGCCTCAGATTAACCACAGAGGCAGTTTCAACTTCGAAATTTATTAGCCCCTTTTCCTCCCCTGAGTTCATATTTATATTCCCTCCAACTCGGTCCAAAAAGAATTTGAGGCAGCTTGATGAAACAAACACAGAATCATGGAATTTTAAAACTAAGTGCAACACACATTTTACACAGGGGGAAACTCATTTATGTAAAGTGACATTTCTAAAATTAGTTAACTGACAGGGCCCAAAATACAGATTCAAGATTCTCAGGCCCATATGCCTTCCTGATGAAAAGGAATCTTCCACAGCAGATTGCCTCAGTACGGCAGGGCTCTCAGTATGAAGGCCGAGGCTCATTACGGCTGTAAAAGTAGACAGGTGCGACAAGTGAGTTAGATACTTGTGTCCAAAACCTAAAGCATTCAAATGGCAACTTTAAAATAAAACACACCTTTGATTTTCTTGTTTGGTTGCCATTCACCTTCTGCTCCTAAAAGTCATTATCTTCAAAAGGCTCAAAACTGAGAACGTCATTTATTTCTTCATCTATACAACAGGGTTCATCACAACACAGAATTGTAAGAGGATTAAGGCAGTTAATGTTCTAAACTATTCTTTTCCCTAATATATTATTTCACTTCATTGGTTGTCTACATGGCATGGGGCGGGGTAGAATATACAGCAACCCGCCAATCAACGAAATGGCCAAAAAGCAGGAAACAAGGATTCTCCCTCTGTACACACATGGCTTTCCCCACTCCAGCCATCACCACCAGCACTTCAGTGTTGGGAAAGCTCTTCCTCTCCACCCTGTCCTCCAAAAATACACTGGCAACCTGCATCTAAAACACGGATCTGTCAAAATGATTTGCCACGTGTTCAGAATAGAAATTAAAATGGACCTTTTACTCAAATGCTTAATACCATATGTACATACGTACCTGAAGCTAAAACACTTCAGGACTTGAATTTTATCTGACTTCATAAGGTGGTGTGAGGACGCAGGAAAATAATATAACGCATGTGAAAAAGATTTGAAAACTGTAAGATGTGACCCGTGATAATTATTACCTGACTTGGCAGGATTGGTTACAACAGCTGGTCCTTCTTCCTCCCTCCTCCAAACCTTTCCGAGTATCTCAAGTCTCCCTCTTGCCCCCTCTCCCCACCCCAAAAAGTTCAGCATGTCATCTCTAAAACAAGGACCCTGTCCCCAAACAGGACTGTTCGATGAGGTCAGTCTCATCCCTCACTGGCTGTCGGCCAAGTATGCCATCCTGGACATCATGTCACCAGGGAATCTTACTCCAATTTCATAGTAATTACAGCGTCAAGGGAAATAAGGAAAGAAAAATGGTTTGACAGGAAAGGAAAGGAAGGGTAAAGAGAGGGAGGAAGGAGAGGGCTAGAGAGCCCCTCAGTCTGATAACTCAGAAGTGAGGTAAGTCAAATGCAGTAGAACATATATGTTCAGGTTAAAAAACAAAAACAAAAAACCTCTTTAAAAAATAGGTTGATCTGGACACAATTATTCTCCCTTGTTTGGTATTCATGTTGGGGTTTTTAAAAAAATTCACCACATAGCCAACTAATAAAGAATACGGTTCTGTTCAATGACATCTGATGTCTTCTCGATAGCACGTTTGGCCCTTGTCTCTCCCTCAGTCCAAATCCCCACAGATATTCCTTTAATGATAACTAACCACCCTAGAAATAAAGTCGCCTGGAATGCAAGGCCTAGAAAGGGGAAACATCAGATGCTAAGTATTTCTCACCTTAAAGCATCATCGAACCTCACTCAATACCAGATTTTATATTTTTATTTAAATGTAAGACCTACTGAACAAATACTACAGTTACCTCAAGGTCACTCTGGAATTCTCAGAAAAGATGAAAGAATGCAGGAGCCTAAGGCAGGCAAGATCTTTTGTCCCCGTTCCTTGCCTGGTCTTTACTGCAACATATTTCATCCTTTCTCTCCTACCTGACCCTGCAACCTGCATTCTTCTATTCCATACATACCAGTACTTTCTATCATTTCGTAAATTCCACACTCACTCTAGTAAAAAAGTTTAACTATTTTCTGGCTCTAAGGTCCTTTTCTTCCTCTGACATCAAATAACTGCTTTTATAATTTCCTAAATTTTCAAAACACTGTTAATTAGTGTATACCAAATTAACACACTAAAAAGTTATATTTTCACACTTTTCATCTCCTGATTTGTCTTTTTCCTGTTGAATCACTCTATTTGATTACAACTAGTTCTTAGGCTTTCTCTCAACGGGGACCCAGTTATTTACATGTAACCAAAGTTAATTTCTATTTTGCTCAACTTCAAAATACTGGCTCAGCGACTACTTTTTCATCCAATTTTACTAAATGATTTTTCAGTTATTCCAAGTGCTTTATCAGCAAAAAAGTCAATTCTTCGGTGCTTCAGAGAAACAGTTTATTATTACCATAAAAAGTTAAGGCTTGTGTGGTATTACTCCAATATTCTTAAGACTTGCTAAGAGAAAACAACCCAAAATACAAGTGGCTATGCAAATTCAGAATGGTCTCAAGAGAACAAAGGTGTCCAAGGTACCAAATCAAAACCTGTAGATAATAAAGGAGGAAAGTCAAAATTTTAAGTCCTGTCCCCTTCCCTTGATTCTCCTGCTTATGTCAGCACTAAAAAGAACCCGCTCCGGATTGCTGAGATTTTTAAATGAGTTTATTATATTAAATCACTTTTAAAGTCACAGGCATTATATAAATTAGAAGCCATGAGCGCAGTAGAGAAAATATTTCATCGTGATAGGGAGAGAGAAAATGAAACAGAGAGCAAGAGGGAGAAAGAGAGCATAATCCTGTTCCCTGAGATAAGTGAAAAGCTATAGGCCTATCTCTCTCGCTCTCATTGGCAAAACAATTTTTAAACAGATACCTACCCTGCATTTGCTGATACCTTGGCAGCAACCTACTTAAGTCAAGGAGGGTTGTAATACACTAAAAGGCCATACACTGTGCTTCACTTCAGAAAAGTGAGAATTCTCCACAGGGCTGAGAAGACGAAAAACCGTAAGTTCTGATCAGTTTACTAATAAACAGAGAAGACTACTTTCTTATAGTATGCGATTAATTTCACTAGTGGCACTTGAACCTATTAGCAAGATTCACATTATAACTATAGTTCAAGATGTATGGGGGATAGGTATTTACTAAGAACCAACAGCTATTACTGAACTATAAGTAAGGAATTCAGATCTGAACAGAGGTAGAATTTTTTTATACTCATTGAACATACTTCTATTTAACTTTTTAAAACACTGAAGCACAAAGCACTTAGTGTCATAACGTTAGACACAGGGGTCGTTTCCCGTCTTGCTGCTATGAAACGGAGTCTGGACACAGAGGAATCCAGTATTATAAATGAAATCCCTGATGACATCAATGACAGCAACACATTCGGGTGGACAGTGAACCCGGATCCCTTGGAAAGTGCAAACACTTCTAGATCAAGTCCACTTGAAATAATTTTAAGCAAAATTTTCAGTGAACTACCTCTAGCCTGGGCTAAAGCAATTATCTCTGCCCCACCAACTACCCTAAATGTCACTCTGACAAATACTCCCAAACTTTCTTTTCTGAATAAAAATGGCGCTGCTTTTCCCACACAATCCTGTTTATATCTCAGTAACCCTTAGGCCCTTCATGCAAACTCAAAGTGAGGAATTAGATGTCACTCTTCCCTACACTGTGTCAAATGCTTTTGGGGGGGGGCGGGGGAAGAGGTGTTTCCATCTACAAGGTTGCCACTTTCTCCGCTAGACACCCTGGGATCATTAACTCAGTTTGCCTTTTCTTCCTAACCCCTGCCTGCCTTGCCCCAAACTGTTGCCTCTCTCTCTTGAATACGCCGCACTTCCACGCAAACTGTCCCAAAGAGCCGGTCGCCGACCCCGGAGCTGGCCTCCTCCACGCCACACACGTCGTGTCCAGCGCACCGTCCACCTAGGCACGTCCATCCTTTCCCCGTGGAGTACCGGTGCCACGCGCGCAGGGCACAGACACCCCGGCTCCCCCAAAGCACAGCCTTTCCACGCACTGTCTACACCCGTGCCCACACGCACTGGAAGCGGCTTCGGGACTCCGATCGCCGACTACGCGGTGCACGCACGCCCCGGGTCGGGCGCTGCTGTGGCAGGGAGCAGGGCCAAGCATGCACGCGCGCACGTCGGTGCCCGGAGCCCCCGCGGGCTGCCCGGGCGGGTGGGGGCTGGGTGGGCAGCTGGGGGCGGGGGGATAGCGGGCGCCAGGCAGCGAGCGGACAATAACAAGCGGGTCGCCTCCTCCCTTCGCCCCCGCCCCAGCCCGCGCCCCGGGTCCCGGGTCCCGGCTACCGCGCGGATGGCACACGGCCGCGGAGGGGGCGGCGAGGGCGCAGTGCCAGCGGGGCCGCCTCGGGTACCTGGTCGATGGGCAGCTGCACGGCGTTGCTGAGGGGCTGCAGCAGGGTGGAGCCCGTGGTGCTGGTGGTGGCCATGGCCTGCCTGGCGCTCCGGCCGCCCGCGCCGCTCGCCCGCGACTGAGCCGGGCGACGCCGAGGACGGGGAAGCGACCGGCGCGCCTGCCCCCTGGCCGCCCGCGGTCGGAGCGCGCGGGGCGGGGCCGGGGAGGGGCCGGGGGCGGTGACCCGCTCGGCCCTCCTTCCGCGCCCCCACGCCCCCACCGCGCCCCCGCGTCCCCGCGTCCCGCGTCCCCGCCCGCGCCCCCGACCGCCCGCGCCCGCCCCGCCCCCTGACTTCCAGCAGCTTCCAACCGCCCCCTCCCCACCTCGCGCGCCCTCGCGCCAGACAGCCCCGCGGCCCAATCGCGGAGCGGCGCCCCGACGCCCGCAGCCAATCAGAAGGCGCAAGCAGCGCCCCGCCTCCATCCCAGGCCCCGGCCCGGGGGACTAGGGGCTGTCTGGCCACAGTGGGCGGGCGGCTCGCGGGGATCGCTCTTCGGTGCCAGCGGGGGGGGATCTCCGCCTCCTCATCCCCTTATTCCTCCTCCCTGCCCGAGGTCGGCGGCCAGCTCACCCCTCTCTAGGAGGAGAGGTGGACGACAAAGGGGAACGGGTTGGCTGCCAGACGAACGGGCGACGTGCGGGGTGCCGTCGAGCCAACGCTGGGGGAAATTGGGAACAAAGCTGGGGGCCGGGAGGAGGAGGGCAACAAACCAAAAAAGTGACCTAGATAAGAAGTCCCTTTGTCTTCAGGATTGCTGTGGAAAAGCGCAAACTTGAGTTAAGTTCCGGTTGTGTGTGCCTTTCGGTCACCCTCAAGCCCTCCTGGGCCTGGCGGGCTGCGACCGGTCCAGTTCGACGCCGCGATGGCGCCCGCCCCAGGGAGGGAGGCAGTTCTCACCTGTGCCTGCGGCGTGTGTGTGCGTGTGTGTGTGTGTGTGTGTGTGTGTGTGTGTGTGTGTGTGTGTGTGTCCTTAACTGCCCGGCCTCTGCCGTCTTCCTCAGAACGAAGGCTCTTTCTCAGCAACTCGTCACCCCTAAGTCGCCAGCTCCCCCAGACTCTTCCATTGTGCTGTTTCCACGTACCTTCGGTGTGAGGTGGTGTGTGTGTTATGTGTATGTCACATCTATTTGTCGAAACCCCGTGAAAATAAGCCATTTGAGTTCCTTGAAAATGCAAGCGTCGACTTTGTGGAGAAGATTTCAGACGAGGAGGAACGCTGGAGGAGAGCATCAGGAGAGCTCAAAACCCAAGGAGTTAAGCGTGTGAAATTTTTGGTAGAAATAACTAATGGTTAATGCGAGTTCCGCCGCATGCTTTCATTGCTGCGTTAGAAGTGTAATAAATCATTTAATCCTCACGCCAACCACATGAGGGTGGTACTGTTACCACCCTCAACCAAAGAAACTGAGTCACAGAGAAGTAACTTGCCCAAGAGAGCACAGCTAATAAATAGAGACAGGACTGGGATCCAAGATATGTGCCTTCAGAGTTTTTCTTAATTGCTAGGCCCTCTTCTTCCTCACACTTAAACCCAGTCCAGAAATTTTCATCAGCTGTCAGGTGTGCCGTTTACTTGATAACTACTGTAGAGTCTTGGATGATGAGACAGCAAAGATTTCTATACATGAGCTTCAGTAAATCACTCTCCTGGAACTCAGTTATCTCTCTGAAAAGGAGGTGGTTGAACTAATTGGTTCAATTCCTTCCTGCCCAACTTTCTTTGCTTGGTTAACTTAATCCTAACAACCAAGCTGAATGAGGGATAGAAGGAAGAATCAAAAAGCCAGGACCTGGGGCTTCCCTGCTGGCGCAGTGGTTGAGAGTCCGCCTGCTAATGCAGGGAACGCGGGTTCGTGCCCCGGTCCGGGAAGATCCCACATGCCGCGGAGCGGCTGGGCCCGTGAGCCATGGCCGCTGAGCCTGCGCGTCCGGAGCCTGTGCTCCGCAACGGGAGAGACCACAACAGTGAGAAGCCCGCGTACCGCACAAAAAGAAAAAAAAAAAAAAAAAAGCACCTTCATTCTCATTGGAGTAGTGATTCAGAGGGAGTTGTAATCAATTAGAGGCCAAACCTGCTCAATGGGCTGCTGATTCAAACATATTATCCCCCAAATCTGGAGCCCTCTATTAATCTCAGAAAAATTTTTCTTTCCTTTCCTCCGCTTTGGAGAAGTGTAGAGAAAGCATACAGGTGGCTGAGCAAAAAACTTAAAAAGTGGGTGTTGGGAACATACTGCAACCTAAAGTAGCATAAAGATACAATCTCAGGTCTAGAACAAGGAATGTCTATGAAAAGGAGTTTCCTTAGACTGAATTTTTATTTTAGTAGGACTTGACAGAACACAGTTCTCTATTTGGGGTAACTACATGAAATTTAATGTCTACCATGGGGAGGATATTAGCCATCTGGAAAATTTAGCTGTGTCAGAGTTGTAAAGGTATAGGTGAAATATAGTGTAGTATTAATAACTTATTAATAACGATTTTGGAGTCACACAGACCTAGATTTTCGGCTGTCTCTGCCGTTTATTCGCTACCAGACCTTGGGCAAGTTACCTAACCTTGCTAAGCCTGTTTCCTCATGGGTAAACATGAGCATAATAATAGCACCAACTCTGAGTTAGGAGGTTATAAAAGCTTACCTAAATGAAGAACTCAGAACTGTGCTTTGCATATGGTAAGACTGAAGAAATATTAATTACCATCCAAGAAGTGTAATGTGATTCTGAAAATGGAAACTATTTTTCTCATATTGAAAGTACTACATCTTCATGTTTTTAATGAAGAAAATGAGGCCCATGTTTTAAGCTAATAGCTCAGTGATGATAGCATAAATTTGATGCAGGCCTTCTGACCGGTATCTGCTAATTAGACCTGAAGCTCTTAAACTGTGATGAAGGGGAAAAGAATTGAATTAATTATATACGATGCCTCACTGTCCTACCACAGATAACATTCATCCTATAAAAATGATTTTCACGTACTTGATTCTTAAAAACAAACATTTACTGAGTGCTTGCTATATTCAAGAACTGTGGGGCAGGGCATGCTGTAACGAGTAAATGATGCTTATAATCAAAAACAGAAACAGTCATATGTATACACAAAACAGAGAGTGAGGTGTTACAAGTACCAAGTAAGATCCTTTTCTTAATGTTAAAATCAAAAGAAAGCATCCAGAAGAAAAAACTTGGCTGGAAGTCAAAAGACCTGAACTTTAGTCCTGACTTTTTTTTTTTAATTGAAATATAGTTGATTTACAATGTTGTGTTCATTTCAGGTGTACAGCAAAATGACTCAGTTACACATATATATATATGAATATATATACTCTTTTTTTTTACATTCTTTTCCATTATAGGTTATTACAAGATACTGGGTATAGTTCCCTGTGCTATATAGTAGGTCCTTGCTGGTTATCTACTGTATATATATATTAGTGTGTATATTTTAATCCCAAACTTTTAATCCTGACTTTTCCACCAAATAGCTGTGAACTTGAGAAATCTGCTTAACTTTTCTGTGCCTTAAATTTCTCATTGTTATTATTTTGGCTGTGCTGGGTCTTAGTTGTGGCATGCAGGATGTTTAGTTGCAGCATGTGGGGTCTTAGTTGTGGCATGAGGGATCTAGTTTCCTGACCAGGGATCGAACCCGGGCCCCCTGCATTGGGAGTATGGAGTCTTAACCACTGGACCACCAGGGAAGTCCCCGCACTGGTAAATATGGATAATGATAGCTTTTCACTCTGCCTCACAGAAGTATCATGACTATGACCATGAAATTAATAGTAGGGTAAATTATTTTTAAAGATATTAGAAATATTAGTATTAGAAATAATAATGAGCAAGAAAAAGCTTCCAAAATCACAACCACATTTTTTTTTTAATTTATTTTATTTATTTTTGGCTGTGTTGGGTCTTCGTTGCTGTGTGCGGGCTTTCTCTACTTGTGGCTCGCAGGCTCTAGAGCGCAGGCTCAGCAGCTGTGTCTCACGGGCTCAACTGCTCTGCGGCATGTGGGATCCTCCCGGACCAGGGCTCGAACCCGTGCCCCCTGCATTGGCAGGCGGATTCCCAACCACTGTGCCACCAGGGAAGTCCCAGCAACCACATTTTAACAAGAGTTACTAACTTAGACCAAATGGTAAGAGCACTAAGCAGAGTTCGCATATAATTAAATGGCTGTCTACCGGTGTTCTCATCCTGCCTACATAGGTCTGCCCCCCGAATTGGCTATGGTAATTAAAGATTGCTAAAATGAAGATTTCCCTTCCCAACTTATTTTTAATTTTGAATAAACCACTCAGAAGAAATGAATAATCTACCAAGCTGCTTTTGTTTCATAAAAATGGTATGTGTCGTGAAATTAGTCCCCAAGGCAATTATCTTGCCTATTCTATGCCCTCATATAATATCTTGGGAAAACTTTGATGAGGGGCATTGGACCATTCACATAAAAAAAGCCCCAGGTAACTGGCTGACATCTTTAAGCACTTACAAGCTAACCCTAGCCTGAGACCAAAAAATGAAATTCAGAAAGCACCCTTGGGACTTCCCTGGTGGCTCAGTGGTTAAGAATCCGCCTGCCAATGCATGGGACATGGGTTCTATCTCTGGTCCGGGAAGATCCCACATGCTGCAGAGCAACTAAGCCCGTGTGCCACTAAGCCCGTGTGCCACTACTGAGCCTGTGCTCTAGGGCCCGTGTGCCCCAACTACTGAAGCCCGCGCACCTAGAGCCTGTGCTCCGCAACAAGAGAAGCCTGCGCACCGCAATGAAGAGTAGCCCCCGCTCGCCGCAACTAGAGAAAGCCTGCGCACAGCAACGAAGACTCAGTGCAAACACCCTTTGAGACAGGGGTCCCCAACCCCCGGGCCACGGACCGCTACCACCCCGCGGCCTGTTAGGAG